GTTGATGGACATTTAGGTTGTTTCCATGTCTTGGCTATTGTAAACAGTGCTGCTATGAACACTTGGGTGCATGTATCTTTTTGAATTAGAGCTCCCTCTGGATGTATGCCCAGGAGTGGGATTGCTGGATTATGTGATAAGTCTATTTTTAGGCTTTTGAGGAATCTCCATACTGTTTTCCATAACGGTTGCACCAAACTACATTCTCACCAACAGTTTAGGAGGGTTCCCTTTTCTCCACACCTTCTCCAGCATTTATCGTTTGTGGACTCTTGAATGATTGCCATTCTGACTGGTGTGAGGTGATACCTCATTGTAGTTTTGATTTGCATTTCTCTGGTAATTAGCAATATTGAGCATTTTTTCATGTGCCTATTGGCCATTTGTATCTCTTCCTTGGAGAATTTCTTGTTTAGGTCTTCTGCCCATTTTTGGATTGGTTGCACACACCAGGGGATCCAGGAACAGTTTGATTGGTCCTGATTATGTCAGACTCCTCCTAAGACAAAGCAAGCAAGCTAAAACAGGGATTAGGATATTGCCTAGGGTGGTTGGGTCCAGCTTTCCAGGGGAAATAGAGTTGTTGCTAATTTATGGGGGTAACAAAGAGTATGAATGATATACAAAGAATCTCCTGGAACACAGAACACTTTCTAGTATTACTGGCATTAAGAGTTAGTGGTAAACAACTTCAGTCATATTTTGTTAGGACCCCAAGTTTCCAGACCCATTGGGCATAAAGATTTTAGTCATTAAACTGCAGGTTGTCTCTGAAGAACCAAAGTATTGGCTGAACTTGAAAAATACAGGAGGAAGATATATGAAGAGAAAAGTCATGAATATCAATTACAATATAGTGAACAGTTGCAGACTTAAGTACTATGGCATTATCTATATTTCCTTCTGTTATGGGTTAATTACATAGCTATATAATTTAACTGATGTCTTGTTTTTCGTTCACCTCCCTCTAACTATTTGATAAAAATATATGAGGGTGATACTTACCAGATATTGTGGTAAAATCACAAAGAACTACCTATAGGAGAAATAGATATTGCCAGGATATGCTGAACTTGCAGATATTGTTCTAACTCAGATGTCAATTTTGAGATGTCTTTCCTTGTGGAGCCATTTTATCAGGGGTAAGCATTTTTCTTAATTGTAGATTGGAAAGAAGCATGTGTTTGAATCTTTTTCACTAAAGGAGGGAACAGTATTGACATTTGTCAGTTTAACCTCTCAGTGTCAAACAGCCTTCCTATCTCAGTTGAAGCTCTAAATAGATGGGAGTGAGAAGCTGAAAGAGGAAAGATATTTACTCTCCCTTCTTCCTGACAGAGCAGGGGTCCAT